TTTTTTTTTTTTTTTTTTTTTTTTTTTTTTTTTTTTTTTTTTTTTTTTTTTTTTTTTTTAATACGGTTTCTGAGCTTTCTGCTTTGACGTAAACATATTCAGATATTCTTGTAAAACAAAAAAACTTGCGAGTTTCACAGGCACTGAGTGAGTGGCGACTCCGTTCAACTCAACTCTCCGGCATTTGTTTTGTAACTTTTGAAACTGTTTATGTCATCTTTATGAGGATGTGAATGTGAATTAGAAGAGTGTTACGACTCACGTCGCTGGAGCTCAGTCCCATTAAAGGGGAAAAAAAAAAGAAAAAAACTTTTAAAACGATAAATAATAAATCTAATTGCACTCATAAAACTTCATGAAAGGTAGAAGAGAGAGAATGAAGAAGGAAGACAAGGCGTTAGCACTCCGCATGCGTATGTCGAAGAATGAAAGTTTTGTTCTGTGAACTTTCTAGTAGTTGAACGGGGGAGTTTGTGAACGCGAGGTGTAGTTGGGATACCAGACCAGACCAGACCAGATGTGGCGAGGAAGGCACAAAGGAATTTCTTCTCTGTATTTACTTCTCTGTATTTACGTTGATTACTGACGTACTTACCAGCACATGCAGAGATCGTAAGCTCAATATATGGACCTAACAAACCTGAAGCGCACTGCAGACTCTATCTTACATGAAAATGCAAAAGATGAGAGCGAGCGTACGGTGGGGAACCGGCGAACCATTTGGATCGCTGGATTTCCGAATGGTGCAGGGGGGCTCGTAGAGATCGTAAGTTCAATATATGGACCTAATAAAAAAACCCTGAAGCGCACTGCAGACTCTACCTTTATTTACAGCAGCAGCCGAGCAATAGGCGTACAGCACTGGTCTGGTTGTGTACTCGGTCAGCAGACGGGAAGGAGCCTAAATCGATGGACTCGCTCGAAGAAAGAGCACATCATGACATACTTCACTTAGGGAAGTTACGGTGACCACTGCTGACCTGGATTTGTTTTTTTTTTTTGCAACTTCTTCTTCTTCTTTTTTTTTTCTTTTTTTTTTTTTTAATTTCACACCCCCGTCAGTGTTAGCGGTGCTGATAAGAGCAGGCACCGCTCACACCTGGGGGGGAGCTCCATCTATTGGTGGGGAGCGACACCTGCTGGAAAACGGGTCCAGCATCCCTTACATGGGAAGAATTTGAATTCGAACTATATCAGAGAAACAGAGATGCGGAATATTCCTGCCAGCATTGATTACCCTGGGGTCCAGGGGATTGACTGAGCAGGATGATGGGGGGAGGGGGGACCTGCCTTCTATTGATGCTGCTGGCCCACATATACCGCTTCCTACCACTGCATGTCTATCAACTGCTGGAAACCGGGTCCAGCGTCCCATCACTTTTTGAAGTTTTTGTAGGATTCTGTACTGATTTTGATGGAGATGGATGACGTGGATTGTTTTGTAACTTTTGGTATACTCTATTAAATTCTTTTTTTTTTTTGAAGGGGGGGGAGGGGGCCGGGGGKGGGTTGGGGTACTCTATTGAATTCTATTTATGACGACCTGTATTTAGTTTGTACTATGTAGTACTACTTCGTAGCTGTCACTGCCTGTCAGTGCTATTTATTTATGGTGACCCAGATTGGTTTTGTGTTTTTTTTTTTTTGGGTAGTATTTATGACCCTCTCTTGGGTCTTTGTTTCTGACTCGGTTCAAGGAATCTTAGGAGTGTGACACATGATGCGAGAGCCTTTTTTTTTTTTTCTTTTTTTCTTTTTCAAGATGTCAGTGAACTGAATGTTTACATTGCTTTACAGTACTCGAAAATTTGAGGTTTTGATTTTGAATTGAAGAGTGACAAGTTGACAGCGCTCGTCGTTCAGGAGCGCTCTATTTTTTTCTTCTTCGATTTGTTACAATCTTACTATTTATGATGACGTGTTGAATTATTGTTTCCGTCTCCTTCTCTCTTTCTCTCTCTCTCTCTCTCTCTCTCTGTGCTTGAGAAGCTCCCAAGGGTCGTCCGTCCCCATGTCAATCTGCATGGCTGCATGCTTTCATGACAGATGGAGAGACAATTGGCAGAGGCAAAAGCTGTGGAGTTGGACGCGGAGTTGGTTTTGAATGACGACACGCCCACTATGCGGCGTATACGCCGACTCGAGAAGATGCTTCAGAAGGCTGTGATAAAGTACAGCGAGGCAAACAACATCCGCAGAACTTACGAACAAATCGTTAAGCGCCTTAAGGAGGAGAGGATTGGATTTGATAACCAGGTATTTTTAACGATGTACTATTTTTACTAGTTAAAACTTAAAAATTAATAGTGATTTATTATTTCATTTTGTTTAGTGTGACAGTGTACTATTTTTATTATTTACAAGTTCATATCTTCCTCTTCGTTCTTTTGAAAGCTCCTAGCCACCGCCTACAGGAACTATACTCAATACCAAAAGAAAAAAGAAAAAAGAAAAAGAAATCTGAAAAATTTTTTGCAAAACAATACAAAATTCAATAACCAAGTCCACTACTGGTTGGCCGACAAGGTACTTACCTCTACCTTCTTCACCTGAATACAACGTGCTGTCATTATTGCTGTATTTAGACTGAAAGATACCCCAAATACAGAGCTTTAATGGCCATATGTTGTTTCCATGTGAAGAAGGGAGTTGTTGACATTATAAATCGAATGCTATCGACAATAACAATGTCAGTGCTCGCCCCCTTTCGGTTTTGTGGGTTTATAACTTTTTAATAAACGAAATGTTGACTTTTTAATAAATAAGTTCTTTAACTTTTTATTAGTTTTTAATATTTTTTAATAACCTTTATGGGAGGCTTTATCAGTTTTTTACTGAAAAGGTCCTTCCCCATGCCTCAATTCCCGGGATGGTTAAGGCATCCCCGAAATTGATGTCTTAGGCTGTGTAGCATCGTGTTCGGGTTCGGTGACCGAACCCGAACGCTCGGGACCGAACGCGAACGAGCGCCGAGACTCTCCGAACGCGAACATAAAAAAAAAAAAAAAAAAAAAAGTTCTCCAAAAAATCTGATAGATGATTTCAACTGGACCTCTATCGTCCTTGTCCCCTTTTTGTTTTGCTTTTTGTTTTTCCCCAAAGTTTTGACCATTTCTCGATTTATGCATGTCATCCTTGCACAGGGGCCATGCTAAATCTTCTTTCTCTTTATCGTCTCAATCTGCGTAGCACGGCGAATGTGTTCGCGCCCCTCCGCGTTCTTGCGAACGGCTCGCAAATGTGTTTGGGCAAACATTTTTTTCCTGTTAAAATAAATAAATAAGTAAATAAATTAAATTTACTAAATAAATAAATAAATAAAATTTAATAAATAAATAAATAATAAATAATAAATATAAATAAAATTTAATAAATAAATTCGGTTTTTGACTTTTAACTCACGTTTGGCTAAGAATTTGAACATGACTCCAAGGCAAAAGTTGCTTGTATTGTTGTTTTGCATGACATACACGTTTTTCAGATTTTTCTGAGATCTTTCTTTTTGTGTTTTGTTTTTTAATATTTTTTTATGTTGCGTTCAGAGGGTTTTGGGCACTCGTTCACATTCGGGCTAACATGTTCGTGTTCGCGTTCCGCAGGTTCTAATCTTTAATGCGTGTTTCTTCTTATCACCCAGAGCATAGAACTAAGACAACATCAAATCTTGAACACAATCCATGAGCAAACAGCTAAGGGGTGGTGGTGGTCCCCACTGGATTCAGCACCTGACAGTGTTCTCTGTTGAGGCAAAGGACTCTTGAAAGTTGGAGATTGCGAAAAGCTGTATGTGGCGGAACCTTGTGTGGAAATGTCCAACTGGAGCTAGAGTCGTGAGGAGGCTTGCTTGGTCCTTCGCTGTTACTGCTTCCTTTCGGGAATGATACTAGCGTCATCGCCTGAATAGAACACCCGGTCGTTATAGCTGTAGTTGGGGCAACTTTCACTCCAGATGCAGCGACAATGACAGCAGCGCGTTCTGCATGGGTGAAGACAGTAGCACTTTGAGAGGCTTTCCTAGAGGTGGGCCTGAGAAATCGCATAGGAAAGTAGGCACAAACAGATCACACCCAGCCTGTGGTGGGCCACGACTTGTGCTGGCCTAATTGCTCGTACTAACCTACAACTACCGTCTGAGGGGGGATAGGGGCTATCTCATTCTGCTGCTGCTGTGTCATCAGGTCACCACTAAAACTAGCGAAACAAGGTGACCACACCGTTGTTCCAAAGTAGTACTATGATACAGCCTCATGACAATGCTGGAGCTAACCAAGAACCAATTTAAACTCTTTCAGGTTGACCATGGCAAAAGTGGTCCTCCTCAGGGAAGGGAGGGAGGGAGGGAAGGAGGGAGGGAGGATGGGAGTGGGAAGGAGGGAGGGGGAGGGGGGGGGGAAAGGGGAGGGAAAGAGGGAGAGAGGGGAAGGGAAGGAGGGAGGGAGGGAAAGGAGAGGAGAGAGGGAAGGGAAAGGAGAGAGAAGGGGGACGGAGAAGAGGAAGGGCAGGGAGAGAGGGAAGAAGGGGGGAAAAGTTGAGAGAGAAAGGAGGAGGCAAGGAGGGTAGGAGAGAGGAGAAGGAAGGAACAAGGGATGAGTGCATGAGTCAGGGAAGCAGGGAAGGAGTGAGGGCAGGAGGGAAGGGAAGGGGAGGGGGGAGGGGGACAGGGAGGGAGAGGAGGGAAGGGAGGGGAGCAGGGAGGAAGAAAGGGAAGGAGGAGGAAGAGATTGAAGGAGAGAAGGACAGAGGTGGAAAAAGGAAGGTTGGGGTGGCCAAGGAGGGAGGAAGGGAGACAGAGAAGGAGGGAGGGAGCTTTTACTAGGCGATAAACATGGTGTTATAGCAAAGTATGGTGTGCAAGAAAAATATGTTAAGCACTGTCTGCAGAACAGACATGGCACTTTCTCTTTCCTAATCACTGGCGAGCACTGCTGTCACTCCCTCTTTGCAGCTGTCAGCAATTGCAAGGACATTGCGAGCAAAGGACCATGATCTGGAAGAATTGCTGTTGATGTCACATGATGCAAATCATGCCAAGGAGGTTGCTAAGGCAGAGCTTGAGAGGGTAAGTGCCCTTCAACATCCTCTCTTTTCCCTTCTCCATCCCCTCGTCCTCTCCCTCGTCCTCTCCCTCGTCCTCTCCCTCCTCCTATTCCTCCTCCTCTCCCTCCTCCAACATCTCTCTCCTTCTCAAGTGTACTTTTCTTGACTTTCCCTTCTTCCAGCCCAAGCCACCCTGTGGGACTGAACCGCATTGATTTACGACTGTGAAAACAATGATGCCGCGAACACTCACGTTACACTCACACTGGAGCCTTCTTGACTGAATCTGGGTGTGACTGTGGTCACATGCATTCCCGAATGTCCTAGTGTGAGTATGCCCCCTCTGTCTGCTACGGCATATTGCAGAATTACCCTCACCATCTTTTTTTTTGGTCTTTTTTTTGTTTAAAAATTAAAAGGCCCCCGTTGCCCAAGGCTAAAATCTCACCTATACCGGAGCCATTACCAGACTTCGGCTTATTTAGAGAGATGCTCACAGAACCGATGAGTCCCCTACCCGTCCATAGTCAGAGCTCCGTCCCCTCAGTATATTTCATGATTTTCATCACATAGTACAACACCAAAAAGGAAATTGAAGTGAAAATCCCAATGTGTCTGAACTGTACTAAATGCAGAAAAAACAATTCATCCTACTACATACCAAAAAAGCTCATCTTCAACATTCTACGGTTTCTACCACCTTTCTATGATATCTATAAAAATATTCTATAGACACACTTCTGCTACAATGAAAAAACAATACAGAAAAAATGCAACATCCTACTAGCTCATTGAGAAACAAGAAACAACAACAACAACATTAACAACAAAACAAAACAAAAAAGTTGAAAGGTTGATGACATGTGGACCTGTTGCTGACATAAGTAGGCTAGTCAGATAGAAGGTAGAGTCGGCGGTATAGTTGCCTGTAAGAGGGCTACATTGTTGTTGTATTGGTGATTGGAGGCGTTGGAAGGGCTTTCGTTATGAATAGACTTCAGTGCTTTGCTCATTTCTTTTCTTTTCTTTTCCTTTTTTCTTCATCTGCAAGGATATGAGCCCTCGGCATGCCCGTATGGGGCCCCTGCTGCAAGCATCGTGCCCGCCCTAAGTGAAGGCGGGCCCCGTATCTCAACGAGTCCTGAATATTGCAAAATTTGCCAGCCTTTGTTGGCGCCGGACAGTTGCCATACACCAGTTGGCTACATGTGCCCTGCTCGCGAGCATCAGAATCTTCCGTGAGCCTTCTAGGCTCTTCCACTCTTGACTTGGAAGCTAGCCTCTCGGCCTATCAGAAAGCAGGGAACACCTGAGTGTGTGCCAGGTGGTTGGGTGCGCCTAACTGCTGCGGGCGCAGGCCCAACCTGAAGCTACTGGGCATGCGTGCGTCCCATCCCAAGCAGCTGTCGTGCCTGGCCACTTTCCATTTGGGAAAGAGCCAGGCAACGAGGAGGACATTCAGGCACTTGTCTGCAAGGCGGCAGCACTGCTGGAGCATTCGCTCGCGGCTGCTAGCGCTCGGTGCTTGTGCAAGCACGGTCGCTTCGCAGGACGTGGGCGCTGCATGTAGGCAGCACCGGAGCCCATCTGCCATAGACAGGCTGGGGCTCAGGGATAACCAACGGGTAAAGGCGGTGGTCCTTGGATGGTGATGGGACGTGGCCGGTGAGATATGGATCAGCTGATAGATGGATAGATAGATAGATAGATAGATAGATAGATAGAGAGAGAGAGAGAGAGAGAGAGAGAGAGAGAGAGAGAGAGA